CCCCCCCCCAAAACCTGCCAGTGACTCCCTATTTCTCTGAGATGACACACTCCCTACAGCAATCTACCAGAGCCCTCCGGTCCTCCCCCACCTCCTCTCCTAGTTCATCTTTCAAAGGCCCCATGGCCTTTGCACACTCTTGCCCTGGAGGATAATGGTTAAGAACAAGGGCTCTGGGGGACAGACAATTCAGACTCAAATCTAGGTGCTGCCAACTGCCATTTCCCTGTCTTCCAAAGAGTCCCTTAAACTCCATATGCCTCAGTTTCATCATTTGTAAAATGGGGATGCTCAGTCATAGTTGCCTGCTTCATGGAGTTGTTGAAAGAATTAAATGAGAAACTGCAAAAGCACAGCAAGAGGCTGGGCAAACAGTGCTAATGATAAAGTTAGTAGTTACTGGGATTACAGTGCTTCCTTGGGAAAGTTGTCCCTGACCTGAATCAGAAGTCTTATATACTTTTAGAATGTACCATACCCTGTACTTTTTAAATGTTTCCAAATGTGGTATCTGTGAGCTCTCAACAGATGTTTGTTGAATGCATAAATGAGCTACCTCCTTTGTCCAGTGGTGTACCTATAACGTGGACTTTGAAGGACAAGAGTAAGAGGAACAGACAAGGCAGGATTGCCCGCATGGCTTCATATTAGCCTCCGTTATCAGCCCGCTAATTTCAACATGCCATAAATCCCACCATTCAGATAAACCAAAGGGAAGGGGTGATGCTCGGACCACCTGCAGGGCTAAGTCTGCTCCTAACTAAGGTGACCAGATCTGGGGAGCAGAGCGGTGACTGCTGGAATGGGGGAAGCTGAGAAGCCTGGAGGATGTCGGGGGAGCCAGAACATTGGGATTCCTGGCGTATGGCCGGCTCAGGCCACACCTTCCCATTTCCCGAGGAGCTGTGCATTAGGGAAAAAAGAAACAGGAGAACCATGAAGCAGAGCCAGAAGGCAGTGAGAGGATTTTACTAACTGCACAACACACAACTTCCCCAGGCCTCCGTGGGCGCTGGCATCCCCTTCAGCCATCAGGCCCCAGCAGTGCCCCTCGCTCCTGCACCCACTTGGGACTCTCACAGGTAGGGAGGGCTGAGCTGTCATGGGTGGGAGAGCTGGGGTCAGGGCAGGACTCAGGGTTGGGGTTGGGGCTGGGCACAGGATCTGGGTCTGAGCTGTGACCAGATCCATGGTCGGGGCTGGCCACAAGGTCAGGATTGGCATCGCGACCAGGCTTAGCGTCAGAAGACTTGACGGGATCAGGAGCATGGGTAGATCCAGAGCCAGGGCCAGTTTTGGGGCTGGGATTGGGGAGGGAGCCCAGGCCAGAGCCAAGCACAGAGCCAGCATCAGGACCCAGGAGGGAGACCTGCCCGGGCCGCAACACCGAAGCAGGGCTAAGGCCCAGGCCAGCCGCCGCCGTAGCCGCCGCCNTCGTGCACGCGCTTGTGCTTGGTGAGGCTGGACGCCTGGCCGAAGGCCTTGCCGCAGAGCTGGCAGCGGTAGGGGCGCTCCCCGGAATGCACGTGCAGGTGCTGCAGCAGCGCCGAGCTCTGCCCGAAGGCCTTGGAGCAGTGCGGGCAGGCGTAAGGCCGCTCGCCGGTGTGGATGCGCAAGTGATGCTGCAGGTTGGAGCTCTGACCAAACGCCTTGCCGCAGTGCGGGCACCGGTAGGGGCGCTCGGCCGTGTGCGTGCGCTGGTGCTGCAGCAGCGCCGAGCTCTGCCCGAAGGCCTTGCCGCACTGCGGGCAGGGGTAGGGCCGCTCGCCCGTGTGCGTGCGGAGGTGCTTCAGCAGCGCCGAGCCCTGCCCGAAGCCCTTGGCGCACACGGGGCACTTGTGCGGCCGCGGNCACGGGGCAGTGGTGCGGCTTCTCGCCGCTGTGGCTGCTGCGGTGCTTCAGCAGCGTGGAGCGCCAGCCGAAGGCCTTGCCGCACGCCGCGCACTGGTAGGGCCGCGCGCCCGTGTGGATGCCCCGGTGCTGCGCCAACGTGGCGCCGTGGCTGAAGGACTTGCCGCAGTCGGGGCAGCGGTAGGGCTTCTCGCCACTGTGGGTGCGGCGGTGCTGGCTTAGCCCCGAACTGCGGCGGAAGGCTCGCCCGCAATCGGGGCAGGAGAAGGGCCGGGGAGGGCTGGCAGGTGCGGGGAGCACCTCCTGGCTGGTGGCCAGGCCTTCCCGGGCGGCAGTGAGGCCGGATGAGAGGGGGTCCAGGTCTGGAGCTTCTGGGGGACTGAGGGTGTCGCTGTTAGGGTCAAGGACCAGAGGGACAGGGCCAATGACGTCTGGATCGAGATCAAAACTTGAAGACATGGGGTTGAGATCTTGGGGATCCATGGCGCGGGTCCCCAAGATGGAACTTGGAGCGTCTGCATCAGGGTCCAGATTGTCAGAGACAGGCTCTAGATCTTCCAAGCTGGGGTCCACATCTTCAGAGACAGTGTTGAGGTCTTCCAGGTCAGGCTCTGGGTCTTCGGGGTTGGGGTCCAGGTCTTCTGAGTCTGAGTCAAGCTCTTCATAAGCAGGTCTCGGGCCTTTGTGGCCTGGGTTCCTGACCAGGACAGAGCGCCGCATCCCGGGTGTGGAAGTGCCAGCTGCTTCTAGGGCAGGATCTGCAGGGCGAGGACAGGGTGGGCAGAAGTAGGTTCTGGGGAGCAAGGGGTCTCTTGGAGCCTGGGCAGGGATGGGATAGGTGGCCAAGCTGTGCCCCAAAACCCACTTCTGAACATACACATGGATCCTTCTCTTGTTTTAGACCACAGGGAGACTTGTGACTCACCCTAGCCAGGGCAAGAAGAGAGACCCTGGTGGGACATGGGGGGCCCCTCCCTTCTTAGCCCCACACCTGGACGGAGGTCATGGGATCTGGCACTAGAGGTCTCCAGTACCCAACTCCATGGCTCTGCCCCTTTCTCCATCCTGGACTCCTCCTCTTGTGGGAAGCTTGGGTCCTGTGGAGAGAGAGTCCTAGGTTCCTACCCCCAGTGGGGAAGAGGGTGGGTGTCCGAGTTTCTGTGCTTGCTTCTAAGTACATGGCCTGCACTCCTGTCCCATAGCCAGAGGTGGCATATTTGGGAGTTTCTGGTAGGGAGGGGGACCTCTGGCTCAAGTCCTAGAGAGAAAGCATCCTGAACTTGAAGAAGCCTGTATCTGGGGGATGGGG